GTGGGGCTAAGAATGGGAAAGATTCAAAAATATTGCCATTTATTGGAGATTAACGGTCCAATGCTATAGGTCGCCATCCTCTTCGGGGCTGAATATAGCCTCTTCGAACCTAACTCATGAAACGGACTGAATGGAAACTGAATGTTAGTCTGATAATTAGTTAGTCTGATAGTCTGAAAGTCAGCCACACAAAAGCTGCGTCGAATCTTAATAATAATGTAGCAATTGATCAGCTATAACAGCATTTCGGGGCCTAGCTGCCACGCCGGCCGTAGAAAGTGCGAGGGTTGGGATGCTGCCAGACCTAGAGAGCAGAAGTCGAGAGGTAGAGGTCGAGTTCGAACCGCGGACCTTCAATTCAGTAAATTCGTACTCTACCCATTGAGCTACCTCGTCGAATTTTAGGTGTCAGAATGTCGAATCGAGTGACTCTATCTGGGTTGCGAGAAGGATAAATCAGGAAAAGGTTACCCATATCCTATTTTGGTCCAGGCCACTGCGCAAAGCACAAAATAGCAATATTTGTTGCAAAGTGAGCAGCTAAGCGTGTATATAACCAAACAACCAGGTCTCGACTTCAGCGGACCACAATGATGGTGTAGCTGGTTGCGAAAATCCACCAATTTAAGAACATCAATGTGAAAAAGTTTGGTTTTGTAACCTCATAATGGGTCTGGTTTGCGTCATACTGAGCTTCTCCTAAAGTATTGTGTGCACATAAATACTTCATTCGAGTGCATTCGACCGAAATGAGATGTATGTTTTCAAGGTTCTGTAACCTTACTATTTTGCTTGTAATAGCTGGTCACAGGGTAACCACGACAGATTTTATGCATTAATGTTCACCTCGCATTTAAATATTATCATGTTCACAAAAGCAACGGGCGATTTTTCCTATAACTTGACAAGTTATTTTGTGCCATTTTTACTGTTTTATAAAGATATATTGACTGTTCCAAAGGAAAGGACGGGATAAGTTTTTGTGCTGTAGCCAGTGTTAATTAAAAGCCGCGATATGATCGCCGATGTACATATCTAAACCTTGTGCAAGTGTACAATACGTAAAAGGAGCGTTTTTGCATGGACAGCTTAAGACTTAACAGATATCAATGAGGATACCTTGTTGTTTGTTAAAATACATGCCTAGGACAAAAAGCATTCTTAGCATAGCTTTTTGCAGAGGCTTTGCACTGTAACTCCTTTTGAGAAAAACATAGAAATGACTAGGCTACAAATTTTGGCACAAGAAATAGCCTAGCTAATTCCATGAAGATGTATCATTGTAGTGGTTCCATTCTCCAGAGAGAACAGAAGCGAAAAAATGTCGTGACCTGTAACACTACCACTCACGTCACGATATTAATTGGCTCTTTCTGACCTTAGCTGACATTACCCGGTAAAGACGTACGAAAAAATACGGTGTCACCAGTGCGGAGGCAGTAAACAGCATCCAACAACACGAAATTGATGGAACGTTTTAGACCGTTGAATCTACTCGTACGACCAAACGCATACACATTCTTCACTCATAATCTTCTTGGAGAATGCACTTTGAAAGTACCCAGTTCATTCGCATCCTGCGGTCTACCCTCAACTTTTTTCGCATTAACACAATGAATGCAAGTATCCAGAGCAGTTCACTCAAAAGGCTTCTCTTATTAGAAAAACGCCGCGCCAGAGATATATTGGAAATAAAGTACTTTGCTTCGTGTGGTAATTGATTAGTGCTAACAAAACAAATGACGTGCAGGCAGTCACCGAAAAGAAAGTAGCCCTCGTGTTCACGGATTTCAGATCATAAATTGCCCGACGTCCTTGCATACTAGATCGGTTTTAATGTCTTTGTCTCGACATTATAACAAGGAACGTAGACTTATTGACTGTGTATTTGATGCAAACTCCAAATAGCTGGCTCTCAAAGCATAAAGGGCTCACAATTATAACAGTCTGTGGGGTGAAAATGAAGGAAAATACTAGTAGAATTCTTTTGATTACTTTACTGGGGATCTTTATTTTGACGCCGTTATTGTTTGTCGGTTTCCCGGTTTTGCTTATTGGGTTGTTTAACGCCATTTGAGTTTATTACGTCGTTCTGCAGTAAAACAACAGTTTGTCTATTTCCTTTCCAGATTACAGGTGTTCAGTGAGGCAAGTCAAATTGAATTTATGAAGAACTGTAGGCATCCATGGATATAATACTTTTAACCTTAGAATTGAATCTCGCGAAAGTTACTTCACTAGATCTTTGGCGCCAGAAGCAACTTCGGAATTCACAGCCCGTTTAGCCTACCAGCAGAAGTTGGAATCAAAATATAATCGGAGGATAGCTTGGTTTCTTTTTTGTCAAAAAAGCGGTCAGCTGTAGCACCGTTCTAGTGCCTAGCTGCCACGCCACTCGAAGAAAGCACGACGGCTGGGACGTTGCCAAGTTGCCCAAGCCTAGACAGGGCTAGTCGAGAAGCGGAGGTCTGATTCCAACCACAAACCTTCCGGTCGGTAAATTCGCTCTCTAACCACTTGGGCCATCAAGAAATGCAAATAGAATGGAACCACAAAATCATATGTCTCTAAAGGTCTTCGAGCTTTCAACGCCTTGTAGGAAGTGATGTACCAAGTGGCATTTTGTCTTAATTCACATGGTTATTCCTTACGGCAAGCACAAAGATGAATCGGATGATCAGAATGGAGGCGAAACAAATCTTAGTGGAATGGTTAGACATTTTTAAAGCGTGAAAAGTATGAAGAAGATAAGACCGTATATACTTTAACTCCATATGCCTGTGATGCCCGGAAGGTAATATGTTGAAAACATGATAAACAAAAATTATCATTCCTTGTAGCTGTGAACCATTGTGATCGATGAAACTGGTGATGGCGAGCAAACGTCAAGCAGGCTTTCTCCCGACACTTTCACTAGCATATCAGATTGGTTTTGAAGGGAGACAACTGAATGCAGCCGAGTCTCTCATTCATAATGGTCTACTCCAGACTTATTCGAACTACTTATTTATTTAGCGGTGAATGACAAACCAAGTTAGCTAGTGACTTATTGTAGTAATTCCGTGGAATAAACATTGTTAATTAGGGAAAGGTGCGACAGACGTACGACAGACGTGCGGTTAAACAGCTTACACAGACAGTGCCGAAATACGCCGCTACCCAGAAGGAGCAGCAAATAAATTGGGTTCCAGCTTTTCATGCTCGTATTTAGAATGCTACTTATTGTTTTTTTCAAACGAAGACAACTGTTGTAAAAAAAATTGTCATTGTAAAGAGCACCGGTAAATCATAAACCCATCGGTATTTTGAACATCCGTCTGGTGATTCACTGTTAATGAGAATAGGCAGTATGTAAAAAAGTATTTCAGCTAATTAATCAAAATGGACTAACGTTAGCAAGTTCTTATTTATACCCCAGAATGCACCGACACATTAGATGATTTTTCGACTTGCCATAGAGCAACCTCGCTTAGTGTTGTAGTTCTGTTGTCTACCGTCGGATTTTCCATTCCATCACATGTTTCCTGTTTATTCTGCATGACTTTTGTGGCTCGCCAACGCGCAAGCACCATCGAACTGATTGTCATTTCCCCCAGTCTAGTCTTCATTCAGTTCTATGGTTTATTGGTGGCCTCGTTTTCCAAACTCCACATACAAAGTAGTCATCCACTAAAAACCTGAAAACCACTAAAATTACAAGGAGAGTCCAAAGCATCCGATAAACACGCCCTTAAAAACGCGTTTACCATCCAATGAGGGAAAGAATTATATCTGACCGATTAAACTGTCATCTCTCCAGAGCCATCGACCATTTCACAGCTTTAGTATTCCTTGATGTTGTGGTAAGGTCGCGAAAAACCATATCTCAGCCTAACAACATTCACACTTCGGAAATTATAACTTCCTATTTGACACCAGTACGCCGAACTCTTCTTGCCTGGCTTAATCTTAGGATGACAAATCCAACAAGCACTAACGGTTATCAGTGAACAGCACTTAATGATCGGCATTACATTTATTGTGAACGTTGACTTAATTGTGTACCTCAGGCAAAGGAGACCCGTTTCTGCCAGTTCCGTGGGACTTCAAAGGACCTTGCTAATGACAGCTGAGCTGTAGCCCAGACATTCTTGCCGTGAAACAAATTACATCGTAACTAAGAAATGCACTGTAAATTGTCTTGCTCAACTAGCTGCATTGTTGTTGCACAGTATACCTTGCACAGTAAACTCGTGTATTTTTAATGTTTTGCTCACTTAAGATCACACTCTCACCTGCTTGTCCTCTGTTTTGTAGATGAGTGCTGTGTTCCAGATTTTGGTGCATGTTTGTTTGATTTCATTTATACACAGTTGTCTTGTTTTCTAGCGGCGCAATATGACACTGACAATTTATAATAAGGAGACCCAGTGGGTGACCTGCGTTGTCAGTGTGGTCCAGAAAATGATCCTATCCTAGGATTTTTGCCCTATATATGCATCCAGAAAATTAAGCAAGGGTAATGGGCCAGGCTTTACATTTTCTTGCACTATCCTGCTCCAGAATGATGTCACTTTTTATTTATGGAAGTGTTCCAATGCATGCTGCGCCAAGAAAGATGGTCCGTTAGAAGAATTGAAGGAGATTTTAAGGAGGTTAGACGTTTAAACAGAATGGATAGCTTTTCTGTGACCAAAGAAAACGTGATAAAAATCGATACAACCACGCGCTCAGAAGGGTTCGAGCTAAAATACTTGCCTAAATCCTGGTAAAGTGTAGAAATTTCTAGAATTGGTACAGTGCGCTCAAAGCCAGTGTGAAACTTGCCGTGCAGTATGCAGGTAATATATTCCTTGGTTTTTTAATGGCCTTATTTCCATCTATCTGTTGGTTTCACTCTATTCAAATGGTTGAGTTACGAGGAAGGCATGGCAGACTCCCACAGTTGTACGTTGATAACGGTTTCGATAAAAATCTACAGTCTTTTGTGAACACCAGTATATCTTTTGACAGCTACTCACCGGTATTCATTGGCAAAACTTTGTCATATCCAAACAGCTTTGTGATAAACTCTTCGTATTCTCCAAGAATGCTGCTATAAAATGCTCTCGAAGTGAGCGTGAGGACTTTCGCTTGCTCGTTTAGTGCCGCCACCAGTTTAGGATGGCAGTGGCCTTGGTTTACAGAACTGTAGGCACTCAGGAAGTCCATGTACCTGTTACCATCCACGTCCCACACGTATATTCCTAGAGCAGACTTGTATTTCGCGTGTAATAACTACCTTTTGCTTTGCATAATGCGACCGGGAGTGGATGGTAATTATGGGCTCCGAACCTGTCTTCGCGTTCATAAACTTCGGAGGAAAGTGATGTCTGCTTCCTGACATTGTTTGTCCAATTCTGGAGAGTCCGTTTTGAAGAAACTAGCTTTTTAGAGCTAATAACATTCTCAGGATCATTTCAAGTTTCTTCTCGTTACCTTACCTCGAAAGAATCTTCCGCATCGAGTACATGCTCCGTGCGACAATGACAACGAAAAAGAAATATTTGGGGAAGCGTTGAAGGTGAAAGTGAAATTATGTTTATGACATAAAACAAAATTCACAGCATTCAGTTCATGTGAATAGTGATTTGATTCCAACCGGCGGGACTCTCTGTGGTTGGCATCCTATGTTCATATTGAATATGCTTATCACAAGAATAAGCATACACACCAAGGGCACTCATTTCAGATTCACTTACTTCGGAGCTTAACTTCAGTTTACTTTTCCGTGATCTCTTCATTTATTTTATACCAACGAGGTCCTCCAGGAAAGTTTTCGCATATCCCGTGAGTCTTAAGTCTTTCAAATCACCCAAACCTGGATTACTCTTTGCTGTTTTTTGTTCGGTCCTCGTCAGGCAAGGAAAAATCTTCAACAGCTTCCCCAAGTGACAATAAACTGCCAACCGAGAAATGAGTAGTTAATAGCACTAAACTTCCCACGCCGCCTCGCATTACCGACGTTTCTTCAGGCGTGGCTAAACTTGACTGTCAGCAGCGAATCACTGATTTCGCATCACTGACAAAAATGAAACCAGGAGATTTCACTCCATTTATCTCAACAGTTACTTGAAACCGACCTAAAATGACAAAATGTTCAACACTGCTTCTCGGTGAACCCGGACTTTCTGATGTCTGCTTAAGAATGTTCGTCCCAAAATAGCTCTTAGTCTAACGACCCGATCCGTAGTTTGTGTCCTCCACCGTGTATTAATAACAACGTTCTCGAATCTCCACTGGTCAAGCGCCACTTCACTGAATAGTATCTGACTGTAAGGAGCAGTGAGTGGAGGAGCAAGATGTGTGTCATCATCTTCATAAAGCCAACTGCAGGAAAACTAATTCTGACGATTCGCTGTTATTTAAGCCCAGCAAAAGTTCGAGCACTTCTTATGCAGCAGACCGTCAGCGCTTAAAGCATGATTAACAATGATTCCCTTTACCCTGGTGCTCATTCTTGAAAAAAACATAAGCTATGGGGGTATCCTTGAACGTTCCCGAATGACGAGTGTCTCGTCCACGATTCTTAGTTACCTCGTGTGTTCTGTGAGCCTCTTCCTGGACGACATATATCGATGCCACATTTTACAGTCATTTGTGCGCCAGCCAGCCCCGTTCAACTGGCCCTTCCGTATGTTTACGCTCATGATTAGCCGAATTCCTTTCATACCTGTGCCTCGTGAACACGCAGGGGTCTCGCATTCAACAATATTTCTGACAAGAAAAAGTTTGTAGAAGGTTAATCTTATAAAACCCCAGCCAGGTAAAAAGAAACTGAACCGTGGAAAATAAAATGCTCAAAAAACAGGCGAGATAGTCAAGGCCACTTCATTTATAAAGTCAACCGAGTTGAGCCAAAATTTACGAGCTTTACTGACAAGACTTGATACAAGGCGGCCAAGGCAACAAACAAGTCCTTAGAAGGCGCAAAATGAGGGTGAGCTGGAGAACTTCGTAGCGGAGCAAAATAGCAGTTTGTACTCCAGAATTCTAGTGCGCACTGAAGCTAGGTAAACTCACTGGGTTCTGTGCTGGGGAGAGATCGGAGGTAAAATTTCATCCACCGTCTTGCACTGATAACTGTTTGACAACCAAAAATAAGTATGGCTGCATTGGAAAAATGAGCCTTTGTGGCGGTGCAACATAATTCGTGAAGATACTAGCCTAGAGTTTGGTTTCGCCAGAGAAAAGTTTTAAGTATCCCACTTTATGTGGTGCAAATGGGTAGAAAACCCCTTACAATATCTCAGGAAAGAGTGAAAGCCCTTTGGAGGGGTGGATTGAATGAAGAGAACGCACTCATCTAGGAGAAAGAGATAACTCGGTGAGCNTTTGGAGGGGGGATTGAATGAAGAGAACGCACTCATCTAGGAGAAAGAGATAACTCGGTGAGCGCTACCAGGGGCCTACAATCAAAAGCAGCAACGGAACAGACAGCTACATTGAGGCATGTGTGGCCCACATGTGGGACACACGGATTCACGGATTGACGCAGTGATACATGGGATCGAGTTCTTTGCGCAAGCTCTCCGTGTGGGGTTCGTTCTTTATCGTTGAGCGGCTTTCGGTTACCTGAGAAGGCACGATCGAAAAAGAAAGTAACGGTAAGTAGAAAATAAGCAGTAAGCAAACCAGTGCAAGGGTTTACCTCTAAAATATCTAGAAATGCCTTGGACTTGAGACCAGATGCAGCGTGGGCAACCGTCGCAGGGGTGTTATTCTACACCACAACTTTTCGATGTACGAAAAACGATTGCCCTAAAAGGTGGATGCTGAAGTATGCAAATCTTACTGCCGTGTCCATGCCGTGCAACAGTAAGGTCACCGGAGGAAAGCCTATTGGCGAGCCCTTGACCAAGCTGGGCATACGTATGTACTGGGCCTCCTCGAGGGTGACGATACTCCGGGAAAGGGGGCCAAAAATACCGGGACGTGTTGCAATATCAAAAAATCTGAGACCGGTGATCCTTTTCGTAGCAGCCCGATTGGCGCACGCATTGAGGGCACGTCCTTACCGCATCATGATAAAGAAACGTAGCCGGGGCATTCAAGAAGCGGTCTGACTTAGGCCCCATACAGTATCTGGGACCCCATGAAAGCGTCCTTGGAGAATGCGTCAACTCATTCTTGTAGTGATGATCTTCTTCCAAGACGATTTCCCATGGCGTGCTGAGAAAAACATGTGTAAAGGGAACCGGATACCTAAATTCGTTTCGTTACCTATCCTTGTGAGGTCTTCTGGACCGTTCTCACCCTGCGTGATACAGGCGTTTGCTCAGTTCCCTTCAAATCACATACAAGTGCACATTTCGTCATTCAGAGGAGGTTGCTAATCACTGCTTTGCAGTGCCTACATCAGTTTAAGTGGCAACGGTAATGAAACTCCAGGATTTCAAGTATTTCGTAAAAGGAACACATGGGCTTTAAAGCACGTCAGAGGGGGCAATGATATAGAGCAGAAACAGGTTTGGTGGAAAAATTGAGCCTTGAGATACTCCAATGAGGACCGGTCGCATACACTTCCACTTAGAATGTTCCGTCCCATAAGAACTTCTTGATGCGACGCAACAATGCTCCCTGAATCACATAAGACTCGAGATTTTGTATAACCGGGACGTGTGGGACAGGATTGAATGCTGTGAAGTAGCCGAAAAATATAGCTTCCTACGTGAGTCCTTCGTATCTGGCTTGCATAAGACTGCCCACAAATTCAAGCTTAATGGTTGTGCAAGAACGGTTTGAGAAGAATACGTGTTGTGCTGGTCTATCACGTTTTTGGTACTAAGGTGATTTTACAAGGCTCGCTTCAGGATGCGACCCATCAACTTGCACCACACCCTGGTGTGTCTAGTGAGCCTGTGGCTGTTGAGCGATAAGCAAACCAAACTTGTGGATTGGGGTCACAGCCGCTTCCTTCCAAGCGGATGGAAGTTGCTCTTCGTCAAGGGACTACTGGAACACCATGTGGAAACACTTTGCCAATGTGAGCAACGTTTCCTCCAGGACCACTAGACGAACAGCGTCAGAATTCAAAGACCTAAAAGGGGTTTGTCCTGTGTAAGAGTTGCCTAGCATCCTCTGTGTGAAGGCCTGGTCGGTAAGATACCATCGTAATCACGCTTTGCGAAGATCGGATATGATGAAGCCGATGTGGCAGAATACATGACTTTAAATTGTATTCTTTAAGCTTTAAATACCTCTTTGGGAATAATGGCGGGTTCCTCGTCAAACGAGCAGGCGGTTGGCTTTTTCCCCGTCGGCGTTTCGTGTATTCAGTGGTACGTTTTTGTCTTTCTAGCCAAGGTCTGGTCTCTCACTCTGTTTTTGTGTTCCATTGACAGGTTTCTGATTTGAAGCCGTCCGCGTTTAACGAAATAATATCTCAGTTTCTGTCCTTTGTAGCTATCTTTTCGAAGAACGGTTGTCGCATTTTTTTCAAAAGACTCCGAATCCTTTTTGGGTAGCTTCTGGTACTTTTGCACAGTGGTTCTTTTTTTAACGAAAACATTGTCGGTCTCCACTGAATCTTGCCCCGGTTCAAGCTGAACCTAGATGGTACGCATCATCGAGAATGCTGCACTGCGGAATCTGTGAATCCGCACTTTATTTATGAGATTCCGGTAGCAGACAAAATCACTGGTCAGCACACATTACTCGGCATCCCAGTAGAGCCTTAATTAACAAGAAGCTTAACAAAGAAATGGGTTTCATTGGTTACACCGAAATCCGGTGGTGGCGGTGGTGGTGGTTAGACTGCGCGGTGTCCGGTGGGCGCAAAGAAATTTTCAATCAAAATACTCTGTTGAACGACTGTTTAGCGCCGATGCAAAATTTCCACTAGAGCGCTACACTTGAACTCCATCCGGAAGATCTATGAAGCGTCGAAATCACCTACCAGCAAGGGTCGCGTTAATTCTGATAGAGAATTGAGCGAAGTCTGATAGAGAGTTGAGTAGCCGTCAATTTAGATCGCTGTGCTCGATGGGCATGCTGACGGTCATCCTTTTGCAAGCGCGACTATAGGCGGTTGTTCAAGGCAAGCCACCCGTTTTACACCGACAGGTTTGTTGGAAAGACAAGTGGTTCCTCTGCCATCACCATCTCAACTGCATCCATAGGTACAGAGCGGAACGTTGGGCTACTAAAGATATCCGTTGATTAAATGGTTTCGTAGAGGGCTTGGGTCCAGTGTTTGAGAAGGCCCTTGGTGAGTGCTTGTCTTTTTCCTGCCTTGGTGCTTCTTTGGCCTGCTGTTTTCTGCTAGGAATTTCTGCCCACTGTTTTTCAAGCTGAGTCAACCCCTCAAAAACAAAGGAGACCATCAGAACAGAAGGCACTTGATGGTTTTGCAGTGAGACCAGCCTACCTCAGGTGGATTAAGACTGCAAGTAGCTAACATTGGCGGATGCGATAGAGCTTGGACATAGGACGGAGGTACGGACATTTTGTTTAGAGTTATCCGTGTATGGAGTAACCGCGTACGAATTTGATTGGATGAACGAAGAATGAGACCAG